GAACAAACGATAAAAAGAAGCCTGGAAGTTTTTCAGGAAGGTTAGTCCAGCGATTCGAGTCGGTCGTCAGCATCCTCCCGCGGGATATTTTGCCGAAGCATCGCAAGGATAATCCGGCTTACCGTCCTTCTGTGTGCTCCACGTGAATGAGAATCGATCCCACCCTTCGTCACGATATTCAGCACAGTAGGCAGATGCTACCAAAAATCCCTGAACGGCCTTTAAAGTCGTCCGATCGACCGATTTTTCATCCCCCTTCTTCCCCGTTCAGTTTAAGTTCTCTGCAACTTCGCTTTATGATACTCGATGGTCTGCTAATCTTTCGTGATTTTTACATTTATTTTTTCCTGGCTTTCGCTCTTCGTCAATTTTCTTCTAGATCTGTCAGTTTTTTTTTCTTTTTTTTTTTTTTGAACCAATCTTTTCTCAGTCTTGAGCTCACGAACTGGCTGCTAGAGACGAAGACGAGAGTTGGCATCTTGATCTTGTTGTATTTTAAAACTTCGGTTTCCGTTCTCGAGCATGCGAGGTTCACGCGAGTCAGTCAGAGCGCAGAGATAACTCGGATCGACTCTCAATCTTCCCTCGAGTCGTAGCTCAACTCGCGGTACCTCACAATTCGTAAGTACTAACAATCTTTTTAAAGGAAGCTGCGCTTGCACACTCGGTACATCCACATTTAGGATCTCTAATTGATTATCAGAGTCTTAAGGCCTGAAACAATGGATCGGCGCAACGGATGTCCACGCGGCGACAACCTGACTTGTATTTATCGGTAGAAGTAGAAGCGGCCGTATTGTTCCGTAGTACGTTCAAAGGGGTTCAACCGGTGCACGAAGGTGCTTTCTCAGACGCTACTCGTTTATGGCGGCTAATTACCGTAATTGGCCCGGCCGTTATAACGACGACGTTTAAGGATACTCGCGCCGTTAGCATACAAAAGTACAATAATTCGAAGGAGGCGCACCGAGCGATTTCTCTTAAGGCAGTCGCAGCTTCCATAATGGTGTACGCGAAACGTTTCTCGAACGTGCGCTCTACTCTTTTTGCGATGTTCGAGAGAGAAACCGCTCGCCCCGGCGAGGAAGTCCGAGCCACGCCGTTCCAACGTACGGCAACCAGCCGTGGGCTCGGTGTAAATTGGAACGTTCGGATTATAGCTCCCGATCTTGAGGAATTTTAATTTCCTGACCCCCTAGAACAGTATACTTATCCATCCGTTATTTCTCTTTTCCACCTCTTCTGCTTCTGTTTTCTTCCTTTTTTTTTTTTTTACCTTTTTTTCTTCTCGTCGAACGTCGGCGTTGATGATTGAATTTTACGGAATTTGGTGTGCGTTGGAAGGAGGAACGAGGTTTCTTAAATTTCCTCTTCGTTTCTTTTCGGAAGGAGATACAGTGGCTACAAAAAGTATTCGCGTACACTTGCTTTTGTTTGTATAGCGTGTATTTCATTAACTAGGTTCAGATCAGGTTTCATCGAATTTCCTATTATTTGGTAAAACTCTTCGTTGGAAAATAGAGAGATAGGCAATTATTTCTTATAGCCGTGTCCGTGTTCTTTTTCTTCGTGTCAGGTGTCAGGGTTGATGAATGAATTTTAAAGGAGGCTACTTAGGAAACAGAAAGGCGTTGTAACGAGCGAAATAGGATTCTTTAGTTCTTCGTTTCTCGGAGCAAGCTACTAGCAGACAATTTTTCTACAATTTTTCTTTAACAAAAAATCGAAAGAAGAATGATACGGAAAGATTTTCATTCACCTTCAGCTTGAAAGCTTCTCGTTTCTTCAAAGAAATTTATCCAAGTTCAAAACAGAATAAAGTTTAAATAAAGCAAGATAAAGGCAGAGATATCTGACAAAGAAAGAAAGACTTGTCACTCTCTAATTTCTTTTTCGTCTTTCTAATCTCCCTAACATCTCGTAATCGTCGATTCATTAGTTCCGCCATAATTTCCCAGTTTGTATACGATAAGCTGTTTAAATGGTGGATTATTTGTTACGGGCAACCTTCATCGTTGTCTAAAACGACTTGCTCGGATGGAAGTGAGCGGCCGTAGAACAAGGTGGTGCAGAATGTTGCAGCGAAATCAATGTCAAAGCAATTGAACCCGTGCGGCTGAGGGCGTTCTTCGGATTTTATTAATCGTGTTATGTCTGCCGCGCGAATCACCAGCTCCGACCAACGCTATGGAGTCAACAAAGCTTATCGTAGCCAGTTTTTTCCATGCTTGACACGATAGCGCATAGGTTTTGCGACACTCGTTGCGACATTCATGCTCTTTTATCGAGCATCTTCTTCTCTAAGTACGATATTGGCAAGAATAATCCCTTTCTCGGTATACCGAGCGTCCTTGACTTCGATCCGATGGTTCGATCATCATCGGTTCGTTCGTCGCTCTTGTGGCAATTTAGACGCGTCTTTGTTGCAGTATCGAAATTTTCTTCTTTGTATTTTCATTATCGTTTTCGCTAAGAATATTCTCCCTTTGGTTCTGTGAAATATAATGTTGATTTCGTTCGAAGATTTTCAGTATGTTTACACGTATGCTACAAATGTTAATCACGAGCCACCATGTTGCTTATTTTTATGTACGCTCAGATCAAGAAGAACGTGGCATTCTTCATTAGACGATCTTCGTTTTAGTATTTTTAAATTCTGTTTACATTTCCATATACCACGTTGCGTTTTATTGTTAAATAAAGAATTTTTAACGTCGTTCCAGAGATCATTCTCGGTATCTTCGTGTCCCATAAGCTTCGGTCATGGTGTACGACAATTGGTCGCGTAGCGTCTATCATTTTTATTCTACGTTTTTGTGTGGTTTTTTCTTTACAAAGTTTGCCTACGTCAGAGCACAATAGAGACTCTAGTATTAAATCGTTATCGTAGAAGCGTTTCGCAAGCTCAGCTCTACGTTGCTCAAGCTGTAACCATCGGTTATTGTCAGTCGCATTAGGTGCGATAATCAGTTGAGAAACAAGTGTCCGGGCTCGACGTTTCAAAAATCAGCCTATTCATCGCGAAGAAACATGTTCGCGTGCAAAAGTAAGAGGAAAAATTCCACGGAACGTATATACTTAAGAGAGGCTCGACCTACCAACAGGTCCAGTTTACCAAGAAGCATCCATCTCGTCCGAAATCGAACCATCATCTTAGCTGGCGAGCCACTCCCACAGTTTACGCTACCCAGCACGCTCAGCTCGCCGACGTTTCAATAAAATTCTCACCTGTGCTTCGTAGCCTGTTGGAAACTTCAATTGGGCCCCTGGAGCGGCTCTCGGCGCGCAGTTGGGGCACATGTTACGTTCCGCGAGCCCTCAGCCTCGCGGAGAACGTCGCAAGAACGTCGAAAGTCGGAGGAGAACGATTTCAATTCCGCGTGACCACGGCCGGTATTTTCACGAAGCCACGACATTCCAACGGTTGGCAGCGGTGTCCGAAGAGATGCTAGAAAAAGTGAAAACACGCCGAAATGCCTGGCCAGGCGTTCCGTGACGCGCGCTTCAGCGACAGAAGGCGCCCTTTCTTCCCGCGGGATGATAATTCCACGGCGTGCACCGAGTTCCTCCCTAACTGCTCTTCGCCGCGTGCTGATGCACTCTCTCGCGACAGCATCCGCTTTTTATTCAGCGGGAACGCGCCTCAGTCCGCTGTCACAGCGGCCACGATTGACTCGTGCACGTTTCTATTCCGGACTTTCGGCATTCCAATGAAAATCTCGTGGATAAGACGAGGGGGGCGGGAGAGCGCGGTACGCGAGCATCGTAGATTTTTCATTCCAGTGATACGTCTTCATAGAATTGTCGCTTGAACGATGAAATAGGATCTGACGAGTAAGCTCGTCTAGGACCTGTAGAATTTGACCAATAGACTTGGGGTTAATTCTCTTTCCCTCGAAATTGTTAATATTCGGGTAAGCGAAGAAGAAAGAGCGCAACACAACAGAATGGCAATCGCAGTGATATGATCTCATCATGGTTGAAAGAGTAAACGATCGTCGGCGAATGATGCAATAAGCGTCGAAATGCAAAGTTGGATTTCAAGGCTGATGCCTTTTGTATAGGTTTGGTTAATGTTTTTGGAGTGCGAGTCAGAATATTGGGCTGGCAACTAAGTGACTGCGGATTTGTCAATACTACCTAATGACAAAACC